ATTCACAATGGTTCATCCTACTTCCACCTGTTGCAAAACCTCCGGCGACGGATCCTGCGTTTGCGCAGCCCAAGCCAAGTGCTCCTGCGGCAAGGAGAGCGCTCTTCATTGCACTTGCAACAAGGCTTCTACCGAAAACACTATCTCTGGGGCTCGGTGCTCATGTAGTATGTGCTTTGTTTTTCACCCTATGTGGCAATGTATAATCACTGACACTATTCAAGGGGCTCGCCCAGCTGGACAATGTACATGCGAACGCGCACCAAGTGAGAACCATCCCGTATCGGGCAAGGCTTGCGCATGTGGTAAAAGGCCTTCTTGTGAGTTTTTTTTTTTTTTTTTCCCCGTAAAAACCGGCTACCTGTAGCTATTTACTGATGCCAAATTTGTCAGGTTCTTGCACTTGTGAGAAGGCCGAAGCTATCGACGCAGCTGTCGAGAGCTTTGAAACTGACTTCACATCCCGCTTCCGGTCATAATTGTTCTTTTCACTTTTTTACTTAGTTGCTATTTTTGTCTTGTCTTCATCATCGGATTGGTTCCTGGAGTTCTCAGAGGGTGTTTGTTGGTGCTCAAGACTACATCATGACTTATTGATTGTATTGCTATGAACGATTTGCATCAGCAGTGGTTATGGTCCTGCCAGGTTTACTCATTAGAATAATCAAATGAAAGTTTGCTCCATCAAGGGCAAGTGAGGACCGTCTCTGGATAGCGGGTAGCTCTACACGCTGAATAGAAATTCGCCAATCCTTCCAAACCTGTGACGACTAGCAGTAGAGTACATAAACTTTCGGAGTCATGCCAATATTCCAACCAGGTGCTTATGATTAAATAGCTCCCAGGGCTGCATGCAAGTCAGCTCCCCACATACTGTGCGTTTTTACCAGTTCCTCCGCCGCCTTCTGAAGGAGGAACAAGACCTTGTTTCTATTGCTGAATTTTATTTCCATCACGCTGCACGTTCTGAAGCTTAGTCCTTGCAGCCTTTTTTTGGATCAATGATGTCCCGATTTGTTTACATATAGGGAGACACCGCCACAACGCATCAACGTTTTCCCGCATTGGCGGAATCTCCGCCGGATCGGCCGCGGAAGTGGCTCAACCCAGAGAGGCGGTTGCTTCGCTCCTTAAAAGAGGTACAGCTGTTGATGAACTAACAGCTAAATGCTGGACCTTATACCGGTGTTCAACCCTCTTCATTCGACTTAAGCTTCACAAAGTCATCCTCTGTTTTCTGTATCGTTTCGTTGCCACGGCCAGGCCATCGACAACCCCGCGCCGACTTGAACTCCATCTTACCCCTTGTCGCGTTATCTGATCCCCTCTACCTAGATACCTCCGCACCTGAGACATACTGCACCGAGTTTTGCACCATGCTCCATGCACCTTAGAGAAATTTGACGGAGAGCTGGAAAATACAGAACTCAGAGTCTAATTAAGACAGCCAGGATATGCTCTTATGACGCTGCTCCACTAACTGAATTCACCGACGTGGTGTCTTTTCCTTTTACCACATACGAAATAACGAAAAAGGACAAAACGGGCCTTTTCTCCCGCCAGAGACAAATCGGTGTCCCATTATTTACCCACTTTTTGGCAATTCTGCTTGCAATATCTATGATAGATCAATCAACATGTCGTCTATGCGAGGCTTGGTCCAGTTTATTGCCGACTTGCGAAATGCGAGAGCGCGCGAGTTGGAAGAGAAACGGGTGAACAAGGAATTGGCCAATATCCGACAAAAATTCAAGGGTGGAAGTCTCAATGGATATCAGAAGAAGAAATACGTCTGCAAATTACTCTATGTCTACATCCAAGGGTACGATGTTGACTTCGGTCATCTGGAAGCCGTCAACCTGATCTCTTCCACCAAGTACTCGGAGAAACAGATCGGGTACTTGGCCGTGACTTTGTTTTTCCATGAGCAGCATGAGCTATTGCACCTTGTTGTGAACAGTATTAGGAAGGACTTGTTGGATCATAATGAATTAAATAATTGTTTGGCACTACATGCCGTTGCCAACGTCGGTGGTAGGGAAATGGGTGAAGCACTGTCAACTGATGTTCACCGGTTGCTGATTTCTCCGTAAGTCATCATCCCCTTACCTCCCCGCTTCTGTGTTAACCTTTGTACCTTGGCTTGATATGCTCATCTGGCTTGAACTAAACTGACACGTAGCTTGCAGCACGTCCAAGGCCTTCGTAAAGAAGAAGGCCGCTCTAACACTCCTCCGTCTATACCGCAAATACCCCGGTATCGTGCAAGTTGAGTGGGCCGAGCGGATAATATCCTTGATGGACGACTCAGATATGGGTGTCACCCTATCTGTCACCTCCTTGGTCATGGCATTGGTCCAGGACAAACCAGAAGAGTACAGAGGGAGCTATGTTAAGGCTGCTCAGCGACTGAAGAGAATCGTAGTTGATAATGACGTTGCTCCGGACTACCTTTATTATCGCGTGCCATGTCCATGGATTCAGGTCAAGTTGCTGCGGCTGCTGCAATATTACCCTCCATCAGGTATCATCTTGCCTGCCTAATGATTCGTTTCTTATCCTGACTGATGCAACGCAGAGGACAGTCATGTCCGCGAGATTATCCGTGAATCTTTACAGCAAATCATGAATATAGCTATGGATACGCCGAAGAACGTCCAGCAGAACAACGCGCAGAATGCCGTGCTCTTCGAAGCCATCAACCTCCTTATTCACCTAGATACTGAGCACAGTCTCATGATGCAAGTCTCGTCACGTCTAGGAAAATATATTCAATCGCGGGAGACGAACGTTCGGTATCTTGGCCTCGAGGCTATGACGCACTTCGCAGCCAGGGCAGAGACTCTTGATCCTATCAAGAAACACCAGAACATTATCCTTGGATCACTTAGAGACAGGGATATTAGCGTTCGCCGCAAGGGTCTGGACCTGATTTACAGCATGTGCGACACAACGAACGCCGGCCCAATTGTCAATGAGCTTTTGAAGTACCTTCAGACAGCCGATTACGGGATTAGGGAGGAAATGGTACTGAAGGTTGCTATTCTTACGGAAAAGTATGCTACTGACGCCCAGTGGTACATCGACATGACCTTAAAACTCTTGTCTCTGGCGGGTGACCATGTCAACGATGAGGTGTGGCAACGAGTGATCCAGATCGTGACCAACAACGAGGAGATACAAGCCTATGCAGCGCACACACTTCTCAATTATTTAAAGACTGACTGCCACGAAAGCCTGGTCAAGATTGGATGCTATGTCCTAGGCGAATTCGGACATCTTGTTGCGGACAACCAAGGCTCCAGCCCCATCGAACAGTTCCTGGCATTGCAAGCCAAGATGATTACCAGCACCGACAACACCCGCGCGATGATTCTCTCATCTTTTATTAAATTCGTCAACCTCTTTCCCGAGATCAAACCCCAGCTTCTTCATATATTCCGACTTTATAGTCACTCTCCCGACTCAGAACTTCAACAACGAGCTTTTGAATACCTGTCGCTGGCGACTCTTCCCACAGACGATCTTCTGCGGACAGTTTGCGATGAGATGCCACCCTTCTCGGAGAGAGCATCAATTCTTCTCTCTCGGCTTCACCAGAAGACGGCTGGCACAACCGATAAGAAGACCTGGGTTGTTGGTGGCAAGGATGCCAATCAAGATCAGAAGGAGGTCCTTATGGCGCAAAATACCGGGCTTAAGCGTACATTTACTACGATTGTCAATGGCACGAACACTGGAACAAACGGCAAAGCGGCATCACCAGTATCAAGTGCGACAGGGGACCTAGCAGGACTGGACCTCAGCACCTCCTCTACTCCGCCTCCCCCGAACATGGCCAGCGCAGCCCATCTTACGCCGGATTGGGATATCGGGTACAACCGGTTATATTTCAAGGAGCAAGGTGTGCTGTTTGAGGATGCTCAGATTCAGGTTGGTTTGCGATCTGAGTACCGTGGTCATATGGGCGTGGTGAAAATCTACATTTCTAACAAGTCGTCCTTTCCCATTGGATCATTAACGACGACGTTAGACAACCGTGCAGCGCCCAACCTCAAGATAGACACCAAAAGCTTACCCGAGCCTTCTCTTGCTGCTGCCAGTCAAACCCAGCAAACTTTTTTCTTTGAGGCTCATGGCCCATTCACTGATGCGCCTACCATTCGCATCTCTTATCTTGCAGGTGCCCTTCAGGCCTATACTTTACAACTTCCCGTCCTCATGCACCGGTACATGGAACCGTCGACCTTGTCGGCTGAAGAATTCTTTAAACGGTGGAGACAGATCGGCGGGCCACCCCTTGAAGCACAGAATACGTTTGGAGCATTAGCAAAAGCAAAGGACATCAACGAGACCTTCACGCGGCAGACTGTGGAAGGGCTCGGCTGGAGAATCGTTGACAATGTGGACCCCAACCCGAAGAACATTGTGGGCTGTGCTGTGTACCATTTTGGCACAGGGAAGACAGGATGTCTTCTACGACTGGAGCCTAACTATGAGAAGAAGGTGAGCTTTCTCTCAGCATCCGCTGGGAAATATGGGATATCTGAACTGACATGCTTTTCCGTAGATGTATCGCATCACGATCCGAGCCACACAAGAAGCCGTGCCGCAAGCACTGGCCAAGCAGATGGAGCAGATATTGGCGCAGGGAAACACATCCGATCGTTATGCATAGCCCACAGCACTGCGGTCGGGGCCTTATCGGCTGAAACCTAAAGTTTATAATGCATCTAATACTGTAAATCCTTTATTACTGTCTTTTTTCCCCTACTATTCGCGACTTTGGCAGGAACGCGAGGTAGCGACTTGTATTTATCGAATACTGATGTGAAGAGGTATATATTCAACATCCACAATGTACTGTCGCATAGACCTATTATCCACACCAGTAGAATGCTCCAGTCAAGGTCTCGTACTTTTATGTCTGGATTACCGGGACCCCCCTCTTGAATGCAAGGTTCGTAACTCATAACACAGCCCAGATTTTATACCCATATTTAGATCACCTTCGCCTGGTCCTTGGGCGGTCTCTGCCCGAAGATGGTGGTTCCCACCCGTACCTCATCACTTCCCAAGGCAATCGCGCCCTCGAAATCCTCACTCATGCCCATACTCAACTCCAACCGGGCATCCTCCCCTTCCAGCTCCAGCTCCCGCACAATCCGATCGCGCGTCTCCCGCAAGCACACAAAATCCTCATTCTCCGTCTCTGGCGTGGTCGCCTTCGACCTGGCAATAGCCCGATCGTCATCACCCCCTGCAGCTTCAGTCGTGGACACTTCTCTCGAATAAAGCGACAAAGCGACACCGCACCGGAAACGGGATCGACCCCAGACTTATTCTCCTCGCCGGAGGTGTTCACCTGCACGAACACCCGCAACTGCGACTCTTGGTCGGTTGCGCGCAGCTCCTCAGATCGCTCTCCCCATCCTTTATCGAGGAGGGAGGCTTTCTTCTCGGAATCGACACTTTCGACGGCCCAGAGGCCCCGCACGTCGCGTGCCAGTGTCACGCACTTATTCGACTGCAGACCGCCGATGAAATGCCATTTGATGGTCGGCGGGAGCAGCTTAGACTTCTCCTGCAGCTCTTGCAAATAGTTTTCGCCGAAATGCAGGTGGGACGCGGGCGGCTGGTGGAGGGCGAGGACGTCGGCGGCGGGCTTGAGCTTGGAAACGGCGATGAGCCGGATGGGTCGTGATTCTGTGGTGGCTTTCGTTGCGGCTGCGGTGACGCGCGACGTCACCGATCCTAGGTTGGAGAGAAGAGTGGCGGTTCGGGTGGGGGAGGCGGGCATGACTGTCGGCTGTTGCTGTTGTTCTTGTGGTGGTGATTGGGAGGTCATTGCAGGGTCTGTGGAAAATAGGGATCAATCTTATGATGGTTCTGTCGATGTGGTGTTCACAATGCCGATTTCCAGGAGAGGGGTGTTGAACAGCGATCTGAACGAACTATGCAGGTATGTCAATATCGGATCTAACATGGAGTTTCCCGAGGAGCGCTGCAGAAGCGCTAGCCCCAACTGGGCTGGGCCAGATTGCGCGTGGCCACGTGATACGGGAGATCGGCTCCGAGAGATTCCGTTCCAGAAGATCTCAGGTGGTCATTTACTTTTTTGGGGCCTATCCGGGGAAGCCGCACGCCGTTTTCGTCGATTCTGCAGAAGATTTACACAGGATGAGGGAAACTAATGAGGGATAGTCAGATCCACTTGTGCCTGGAAGGCGAGGTCTAGTTGAAATCTAACGACTTCAGCTTTAAATAGTGTGCCCCCTCTTTCTGACGGAGAAAAGGAAGGGAAAAGGAAAAGGAAAGCGAGGAAAATAAAATAAAATCAAAAGGAAAGGGCCAGCCCGGTATGTTGGACCCTGTGACAGCGGACTGAATCGTAGAACCCACCAGGCATTCCATCCAATTTCACTTACAGACACTATCAGATTCAAGTTGATTATGGGATTTTCTTTTCCAGAACCCTTCCCACTTGTTCCTGCATTAGCAAGAAATTCCGTCAAGCGCGAATTAAACCCAAAGAAAATAAAAACAAAAACAAAAATACAGTGCAATCGTTGCAGCCTAGCCCAGCATTGGGGCAGCACCTCTTTTTGGTCCCAAAGTTTTCAGCCAATTGCCCGCGATGCGCAATGGGGCGCAGTTGGCCGAACCATCGTCCACCGTCTGCCGCTTCGGCGACGAGCTTCTCACTGTCCCTTAATAGCCTATCGGTAGAGGGTCTCCAATCGCCCAGGCACATGGCTACACTACGTAATTGGAGCAGGCCACTCGGCCCCAGAGGAAGGAGGATTGAGCGGCAATCTCGGCGGCACAGGAACGCAGTGTCTATTTTCTGATTTCCTATACTTAGCAAAACGAGGACTCGGCGCTACATGGCCCAAATCAATGATTCAATCACCGTTCGTAGCGTTGTACTGATCCTTTCTGTTGACGCCGGACTCCACCAACTTCAGTGCTGACGTCAAAGATTTCCCTACCCACCCCCAAAAAAGTGTTGCCATCATCGTTTTGTGTTTTGCTGTTCCTTTTGGCTCGGCCAAGAACTACGACATCCTGCTGCTTATTCCCTACAATTTGGTTTTCTTTTAGGGCCTTGTCCCCTCCCCACCCACGTTCCGTCGACTCCAATTCTTGCACCTGGTGGTTTATCTCACTTCGATTGATTGATTCTTTTCCTTTACTTCACTTCCTTTCTCTGAAAGCAGTGTTGTGTTCTATCTCTATCGTCCCTCTGGTTGATACCAGATATGCTGCGGTAATCCGGGGTTTATCGCATGAAGGTTCGAAACTGGGATCCAGCCCAACAACGGAACAGCACCAAAGCCATTACACTCACGACTACTAAAATTGCGCATTCATATACTCTCGACGGGCTTTTATTTTTCAGGATATTGATAAAAGGAATCTACCATTAAAACCATCGCACATCATCTCGAAACAGTTCAGTACTGTTCAATTGACATCTCTAACCACGAATTTTACCGGAAGCCCGCGGAGTCGATTTAACAACGACAGATCTGCAACACCAACTTCAGAACAAACTACCCTCTCGATTGGCTACAGATTGTGATCCTTGAATAGGGATTCATAGTTTAAAAGGAGCAGGGACAGGCAGCAATAAAGAAGAAAAGAACCGCGCCAACAGCATCATGTGTCGCCAATTCTTCACCATCTATGAATGGTGCCATTGCGAAGAGGATAACGGCCACGAGCTTTGCGCAGCCCGCAGACGAGATATGTGTCCGGGGACGTCGATTGAAACCGTCCATATGCAGTGCTTCTGCCATCAGCATGCCAGCAAAGGGTTCAAGTCTGAGAAAAAGGCCCAGAAATCAAACGGCCCTTCAATTGACGAGAAGGACTCGTTTACTCCACGAAGGAAATGGTATCAGATCTGCGGTAGTCGGTCGCGGACTTACTGAGACGTCTGGACCTCTCTCCCTTTACGGTATCATACGCAGATCAATGGCTGGTTTCTTTTGGCTTTGCGTCGTCAAGTTCTCATGTCTGGGTTGGGTGTTCAATTTTTTTTGGGATTTTTCATGGATTCATTGGGACCGGTGTTTGGTTCGGTCTTAGGCGTTCCTTCGGGTGATGATTAGGGGTGTTGTGTCCTCCTCCTTCCTCCTCCTTGATATCTCTTGTTTCTCACTGTACGGCTATGGGAAGACCTCTGTGTCTCTTGAATAAAACCTGTCAGAAATACAGACGATAGTCGGGTCAATCTCGGCCGGCTAGTGCGGGTCAGTTGACATGTCCTTTTGAGCCTTCATGCTGCAGATGGAGGAAATAAATATAGTAACCCAAAGCCCATTGTTATGGAGGTAAGCCAGGAAAGGTACGCCCAGCCTTTGTGGGTATTGGCTTTTATTTTATTATTATCTTGCAACCATAGCCACCATGCGATTGCTTCAAGCGGGCAATCCACTAGTCCGTACCAGGTGATAGACTAACATTTCCAATTATTAAAGTGACGGATCGACTCTTGTGTCGTGATTAAGGTTCCGAGAAACTTGATGTCAGATCCGCATTATCGTAAATATTTATTCATTAGTCCTGCTCTTCTGACTTGATTGTTCCCCGAGGCGGCTCTTGTTCGCACTCTATAAACAAACCACTATAATTAACTCCAGTTGGAATCAATCGTCCCCCGAGCCATAGATATATTGTACTTCTAACCCTTTTTTTTCTTTTTTTTGATTCCCAAGTATCTCTGTAGTAGAACTCTATACGGGGTAAGTTCTGGCTTAATATTTACTATAAACCTAGCGCCTAAATCAAGTCCTGTGAGAATATTCGTTCGACAATTCATTGTGTACGAGACGTAGCCTTCTGATCGGACAGTAGAGCCAAACTGGTTATATACCAGCCATACTTTTCCTACGTACTCGATTTCTTTTCTTTGCCCGCAGCTGGCTATCTCATGAGGCGGAATCCATAACAACGTTGGCCATACTAGCATTGTCAGCTCTTTGAAGGCTTCGATAGCCCACACATAATCCCATTTGAACTTATTTACTATGGCATCTGGGGAATATACACAGTGACCGGAAACAAGGGATCGAGGTTTCACCACCTGCCGCATCAGATAGCGCATACCAATTAATTGGACATGAGGCGGCGTCTCGACGAGTCCACCACCACACTCCCCAGCGTACAATGACAGTATAGATAACCCGGAGTAGAATAAGAAAACCAGGAGAACACTAGTGTTAGCTGACTACAGAGACCTGTCACTTTACTAAAATCGGAAGTTACTGCTAAGTCAAGGGAATAAAAGACAATTAAGCATAAACTTAGGATGATCAGAGTACCTGTTCAGAGTTCCAGTATCTCTCAAATTACTACTGGCAGATAGGCAACATCGGTCCGCGCCAGAACCATACAGAACCATCGCCATTCGGTGCCTTTATATCTGTAACATAATTTACGTGCGGTCTGAGATTGCAGCGTATATAGGGGGGCACAAGGTAGCGAAATCTTAGAGATAGAGGGCTCGTTCATCTGATGCCGAGCGAGACAATTAGGGCTTGCAGGCTTGAGTTCAGGGAGGTTGGGTCTTCTCAGGGGCTAGTTGCGTATGTGGGACCAGTTCGGAGGGGCAATAATTTTCCCTGGCTAAGTACAGTCTTCTTTGACAGGGCGTATGATGCAAAAGTTGCCCTTGCCCCTCCTTCGTGTATTGTTTTGGGGGTGTACCTAGGAATTAAGAGGGTGTCTCCTGTACTCTAGACTAATGTCGGTATGCCTGAACTGGTAATATGATCAGTTCATCTACGGATATTGTTGCGGAGAAAATGATCGAAAATTATGAACGAGTCAAGCCACGCTGTCGTTCAGCCATGTCCTTAGCATAGATCAATCGTCAAGAATGAAAGGGGAGGTTGAGAGAAGAATGGAGGATCGACTGCCCCTTACCCTATCGGGGGAGAAAGTTTTAAGGGACCCAACGAGGAGAACGAAACAGTCCGTCAGCTCCTTGTTTGTGCTCCTGACTCTTTGTTTTTGTTCTCGACCTGCGACTTCATCGTTTTCTTTTTTCCCTTTCTTCTGATCGGATCCTGGTCTTATTGTTTAGCTCTCAATTGTCTACTGTATCATCACCGAAAAAAAAACAACGCTAATAAAGCCACACCACCAAATGAACCTACTATTTGCGTCATGGACCCCTCCAAGCGCGACGATCCTCCAGCTGCATCATTCACTCCCACTTCGGACGCACTCGCGTCGCCAACTCCCACCACCGGTCCTGTAAACCGGTCGCCTCGCATAAACGATGTGTCAATGTTTGCGACACCTCTCCCGGTCTCTCCCTCCGGGTATTCCTCTTCTTCTCACTTATCCCCAGCAAATGCTCCCGCGCGCGCTACATCCCCTCAGGCGCATACAACCCCTCGGCGCATCTCCAGTCTAGTTCCCTGAGAGATGAACATCGAAGTTCCAGCCTGAAGAAGCGGTCGTCCACCGCGTCGCTGCGATCTGTCCGCAACGACAGCAGAACCTCGACTTCTCCTCACCGTAGTGTGTCGCAACACTCAACGTCGTCGCTCTCTAGCTCTCCGACCGCCACTACACCGACCACTTTGGGTAATCCCAATATGCTGTCGAAAAAGTCGCGCATTGCTAAAGCAAATGAGCTTCCCATACCCACGGCTGCCTCTATCGCGGCAGACCATTTTCAAAGAGAGGTGGAGCTGCACCAGTCTGCTGACCTACAGTCTCAAACGCTCGTGGTCATTCATGATGCTTGCTATGGCCATCGCTTCTCGCGTCCCCGCGCATCCAGGGCAGCTCTGGGCTCGATCGTTGAGAGACCAGAGCGTATCCAAGCTAGTGTCCTGGGGGTGTCTGCAGCTTACGTGCGTCTTGCTCATCGCTATGAAGGGGGTAGGTTCGCCCCCCACCCAGACATGAACCTTGACGAGCTTCCCGTGCCACCGTTTCAGATCTGCAGAACGGCACGGTCGATGGCGCTCAGCTCCCCGGCTGTGACGCATGTACATGGTTCCAGGTGGATGGACGATCTGAAAACTATGTGTAACGCAGCGGAATCGCGACTCGCATTGAACGGCAAGGAATTGGTCCGACCCCCGAGTGCAGGGAAGGACGGCGCCAAAGAAAACGCGCCTGCACTTCATGAAGGTGACCTTTATCTATGCGCAGAGTCCTTGAGCGCATTTGAGGGAGCTTTGGGTGGTGTCTGCGAGGGGGTGGATGCCGTCTTTGGCCCCAAATCAACGAAGCGCGCGTTCGTGTGCATCCGTCCTCCGGGCCACCATTGCTCGTCGGATCATCCGTCCGGGTTTTGCTGGATTAACAATGTTCATGTAGGCATCTCCTATGCTGCTATGACCCACGGTTTGACCCACGCCGCTATCCTGGACTTTGACCTACATCATGGCGATGGTTCGCAGGAAATCGCATGGGAGCAGAACCGCAAGGCTACCGAAGCTCCCCGGGGTGCAGCAAGCTACAAGAAGACCGCTATTGGATACTTCAGTCTTCACGACATTAACTCGTATCCTTGCGAAATGGGGGAGCCGGACAAAGTGCGCAATGCAAGTGTGTGCATAGATAAAGCACATGGTCAGTCGGTTTGGAACGTTCATTTGGAGCAGTGGAAGACCGAAGTGGAATTTTGGGATCTTTACGCATCCAAGTATGCGGTACTGATCGAAAAGGCGCGTGCCTTCCTACGCTTTCACACTGAGCGTCTTGCTAGTACGCCCAATGGACCTCGACCCGCTGCAGCTATCTTTATCTCTGCGGGATTTGACGCAAGTGAATGGGAAGGGGCGGGCATGCAAAGACACAAGGTGAATGTGCCTACTGAATTCTACGCCAAGTTTACCGCAGATGTTGTGCGAATGGCGGAAGAAGAAGGCCTAGGAGTTGATGGCAGGGTCGTCAGTGTGTTGGAAGGAGGCTACAGTAATCGCGCCCTAACAACAGGTGTTCTGAGCCATTTGTCGGGGCTAGGGGATGCGACCTCGTGTCTAATGTCCGGCGGCGTGGACGACAAGGCCGATCGTTTAACGGCTGAGATGACGAACCGCTTGGGCCTGCTTGACATCTCAGCGAATGTCCAACAGCCATCAGGTCTGCCAGTTTATGAGAGCGCGTGGTGGTCGCCAGCTCTGCTGGAAGAACTAGAGGCATTGGCATATCCACCACCCACCCTGAAGCCCCGCGAGAAGTCTGCGCCAACCTACTTTGCTCCTACCCAGTCATTTACCGCTAAAGTGGTCACCGCGCCTCGAGATCGACGATCAACTGGTTCCCAGATCAGCGTGGAAACCGATGCGCCGCCATTGCCGCCTATTAGCTGGGCCACCGCAACGCATGAACTCTCAAGGATTCTTATCCCGAGCCATCGGCAAACCACAAGCTGCCGGCCAGAAGATCTCAACGCAGAAGCCACACGTTTGCGACGGGAACGTCAAACAGCCGCCCAGCACACCAGCACCCCCTCGGCTGGGAATGCAGAAAGTCGGATGAAACTCCGTGCGAGGAAACCCAAACCTCCATTACCGGAAACCCCGAATGCAGAAACGTCGAAGCGGCAGGCCATTGCAAACAACCGAAGAACCACCATCGAACGTGCCAGTGACCTGCCGGATCCGTCCTTCGACAAGTCTCCTAATACGCGCAGCGCAACCCGTAGAAAGAGTGCCGCTTCCACGATAGCGTCAACCCTGGAAGCCAACACCCCAGGCGATAAAACTGCTCGCTCGGCGTCAGCAGCCAACACGCGAAGGCCGGGTAGCTCCCGGTCTGCGACTCCGAAGCGCCCTTCGAGCCCCAAAATGGCACCTCCTGTACCTCAGGTCCCGTCCGTATACACGAATCTGTCTGCAAATGAAGAAGCGGCGATGGCGCCTGTTGAATCACGCCCGTTCTCGAGGAGCATGCCAGCTACACCGCAAGATGATGTGGATAGTCTGACAGCAGGCGTTCGAAAACTCAACATCAAGCTGAAAGTGCCGTCTCCTGAGGAACATGCCGCCCGGGAAAGGGAACGCGAGCGACAGACTTCTAAGAGGGCACCCAAGACACCTAATCCCTTTAAAAAGTCCTCAGGCACGAAGGGACTGAATGCTCCCGTCAACAAATTGGCAGCTCGTTCAAATACGGCTCTGGTACGGCCAGAGGCAGAGAATCCTATCCCATCGCCGCCCACAACTACAGGCATGGTGGCCGACGGATCCGGCATCCCGGGTGAAACTGTCTTGAATAGATCCACGGTAATGTCGACGGCAGTCCCATCACAGACACTTCCTCCAGAAATGGCAATCTCTCCTCCTATTACGCCGGGAGCCACCCATGATATTACGCGTCCTCAACATGCGTTGTATTCCCCACCAATCTCTGAGCCGTCTGTCAAGGCAGGCATCCCGGTGTTTACATCCAACAGCCCTATTCCTTTTGCACCGGCAAGTGCTCACGACAAGGCAGCTCCAAGCAAGCCACTTACTTAACTCAGTCGGCAGCACTGCTTCTGGTCTATCGTTCTTTTGGTAGAACTCAACTGTTTGATCATTGGTCCAGTTCTGATTTCGTCCGTTCCGGCAAATCTTTCTTTGTCAGATAATTTACTCACTTCTACCCTAACCCCTTGCAGGCAAGATTACATAACCCTGGGCTTCGATTTAATCTTGTTGATATACCCCTTTAGTTGTTGGAGTTTGAATCTAAGTGCTAATTGAATTGCGAATCCATCTTGTAAATGCCCCCAATAGTCTTATCTCCGATCTCCGAGATCTGATAAGCATTCTCCACGCCTGCGCCACCGCCCTGATGAGTAATCCCTCTCCGCATGTGCTGGTGCCTTCTAGTCTTGTTCTTCTCTTCTCTTCTCCCTATAATCTTCGAATTAAAAAAGAAAACCTAAAAACTACCTATAATACCACGTCCGCCGGAGGTAGAGAGCCTCTTCTTCATTCAGAACAGCTACCCACATCATCTGCTTTCACCATGGCGCCCATTTCCATGGCCAAAGATCGGCTCTCGCCACAGGAGTCTTTCACGCAAATGGCCGACAAAGATCTAGAATCCATCGGGCGACACTGTCAATTCGAGTACTGCAACCAGCTCGATTTCCTTCCATTTCGCTGCGAGTCCTGTCGCGGGACCTTCTGTCTTGACCACCGCACCGAAACCTCGCATAAATGCCCCAAAGCCGGCGACTGGGCTCGCCGACGAAACGCTCAGAACACCAGCCCGGGCACCAGTCTCCCTACGCAGAAACCCACGATCTACAACTCCGACCAATGCGCGCATCTCGATTGCAAAACCCTTATCAACACGATGAAGGACCCGGCGTCCGATGCCCCAACTGCAACCGCCAGTACTGCCTGAAGCACCGCCTCCGCGAGGAACACGACTGCGCCAAGATCACCCCGCTGGGCGGTCGGCCGGCCGGCGCAGGCGCCAACAACGCCAACGAGACGCTGCGGTCCATGTTCGCCCGCGTCCGCACATGGGGCAAGGATAAGAGTCATGCGGCCACCCAGAGCCTCACCCCGACGCCGAAACCGAATAGCCCCGCGGCGCGGGCGGTCCAGCTGAACGCTCTCAAGAAGTCTGCCAAGGGCGACGCCAATGTTCCCGCCGACAAACGCCTCTATCTCCACGTCGTCGGCACATCGGATACGCAGAGGGTGGACCCGCCCAAGGGCGACTTCTATTTCGATAGCCGGTGGAAGGTCGGGCGGGTTCTGGATGATGCGGCGCGGCGCCTGCGCATCGAGAACGTCAACAATCGTGCGGAGGAAAAGGAGCGACTCCGCATCTTCCATGTCGAGTCGGGCGAGTTCCTGGAGTTCTCGGATGCACTCGGAGCCGGGAAGCTGCAGTCTGGACACACCATCGTCTTGATGAGAGGTGCGGGTGTGATGCTGGGGAAGTAAATTTAGACTGCGCTCTTTTCCTATGACCTCTGCTCTTTTTTTTTTTGTTTTTCTATACATAGTTTGTGGGGAAGTTATGATACCATCGATTGTCGTTAGAATTATGCATCAGCATGAAGGCGTTCCGGAGCGGGTTCAGACGGACACGATGAAGAGTAAATGACGGCTCGTTGAGCAATCTATATAACTCACTCTATATATTTGTCGACCACATCCAATACATACATAAGTTCATAAATAGCCTATCTTTTGGACGAAAGGAAAAGCAAAACAAGGTATATCACGCACGAGGAGAATAAGGAGTAAAAATAAAAACCAAACGTAACTAAACGCTCATCTTCATCTTGATAGCCTTGTGAGGATTATACCCGACGACTTCGAAATCCTCCGGCTTCCAACCATCAACCACCCCACTACCGCGGTCATCACGAGAAATCTTCAACTCCGGGAACTCCGTCGGCTCGCGCACCAGCTGCTCCTGCAAGGGCTCGACATGATCGAGGTAGACATGGGTATCACCCATGGCATGAACAAAGGTACCGGGGTGCAGGTCGACAGCATGAGCCAGCATGTGGGTCAAGAGGGCGTAGGAGGCGATATTGAAGGGCACGCCGAGGGCGACGTCACACGAGCGCTGGTAGAGCTGGCAGTGGAGATGGCCCTTGTGGTCGGGGCCGTTGGGGTAGGAGACGTAGAACTGGGCGAACATGTGGCAGGGCGGGAGGGCCATCTTCTTGAGGTCGGCGGGGTTCCAGGCGCTCATGATGATGCGGCGGTCGAAGGGGTTGTGCTTCAGCTTGTGCACGACCTCGGCCAGCTGGTCGACCCCTTGCCCCGTGTAGTCGGCTTTGGCGTCGACGTACTCGGCCCCGAAGTGTCGCCATTGGAACCCGTACACGGGACCCAGGTCGCCGACCTCGCGGTGGCCCAGGCCCACCTTGTCGAGGAACTCGCGGCTGCCGTTGCCGTCCCAGATCTTGACGCCTTGGTCGGAGAGCGGTTGCGACGAGGTGCAGCCGGAGATGAACCAGAGCAGCTCGGCGACGACGGCGCGGAGGAAGACGCGCTTGGTGGTCAGGAGGGGCAGGACGGGGATGGGGTCGTCGGCGGGGTTGGGGGCCGGCTTGGAGAGCGAGAAGCGGAGCTGAGGGGGTGCGAAGATGGAGCGTGTGCCTGTGCCTGTGCGGTCGGGTCGGTATTCACCTGAGGCGAGGATCGTGCGGATGAGGTTGAGATATTGATGTTCTTCATGGTTGGGGTTGTGTGCGGCATTCGGCGTGCTGCCGTTGCTTGTGCCGGTTGATGGTGTCTCAGCGGAGGGTGACATTTTCGCTGGTATCTTCTGTTGTGAACTGTGGGAAGGCTTTGGTATTAGGATGTGAGGTTCAATCGAGAGATTCGGATCTTCTCCGTCAAGTCGCATCAACACGCGTCCGCGACGCGGCACGTGAGCACGTGATGGGTCGTTTGCGTGGTTTGCCATTTCCATACTAGCTTTAGGCTGAGATATTTATGCTATTCACAACGCCATGATATATGCATTAGACGCTATCTATAATGCTCAAAGACATGATATATATGCTAGTCTTCCATCAAATCAACGCCGACCCCCCGTAGCGCCCCCACCGCCCATTCCGGGTACTTAGATTTGTCTCCATACAGCTTGCTGAAGAACTCCCGTAAGAATGCCGGGAAGCGGTCCTCCAAGATAGCCTGTCGCGCAGCGCCCATCAGGGAAAGTAGATAATGAACATTATGAATTGTAAGGCTGCTCGTGGTTAGCACAAGATCCTTCAAAGGCGGGTTGGGCAATCTTACAGGTGAGCGCCAACCGTTTCCTTGGCCGCTAGATGATGTATGTAGGCCCGTGTAATTCCTAGGCCACCCTGATCTCTGGGTCGACAGATGGTGCAAGTGCAGCCTTCTTGCACTGGCCTGAAGTCTTGGGCAAAAGTGTGATTGCGAAGGTTGAGAGTGCCGGAAGGGACCACCGCGTTTCCAAATCGCTAAACTCGTCAATCAATGCCGAATTCCCCAATAGCCAACGGTAGGGGTCTTACAGCTGTTCTCGTGGGCCAAACACAGTCGAACATGTCTGCACCGAGTGCAACTCCCACAATCAAGTCCTCGGGGTAGCCTGGGAGAACGTTAGGCAGCGCTTAAAGTCGGCTTTGAAACACTTACGACACCCATCACATATCTCGGTTTCTGATCTGGAAGAAGCCCAGTACAAGTGTCGACGCTATGAACGTTAGTCGGAATCCGGTTTTGGAAGGAGGGAGTGGTTGAAGGAGGAATAGTGACGCACACTTTGCAGAACTCCTCCTTAGCTTCACCTCCGGAGAGTCCTCCGATGGCAATGCCTGGTGTATCTCGCGCCACCATCTCAGCGCAGCATTTCCTCCGCAATTCTAGATCCAATCCTCCCTGGATGATACAGAACAGGTTTTGCCTCTCGGGGTACTTGTGCGCGTCGATGCACCGATCCAACCACCGCACCGATCGTTCCATGGCCTCCTCAATCCTCGCGTGGTCCGGCGAAGTGGTCGCGATAACATCATCGAGCTGCATGATAATATCCGAGCCTATCGAGTTCTGCAGGGAGATAGAGTGTTCCGGAGTGAGCAGCCTAGCAAGCAGTTGTTAGGTGTATCCTCGACGGTCTGGACATGGAATGGTAGGAGAGCACTGTACATAGGTGTACCATCGTGAGGACTAAGGAATCGAACACCTTCCTCCGTGACAGTAGCAAGTTTGAGCAAGGAAACCATTTGGAAACTAGGGTTCATGTCAGCTTTCGCTTCGCGCATATAACATCACCCTCTCCTCTCCAGGGTAGATCACAACCAACGCACCCGCCACTATCGGTGAGAATATTTCGATCCCAGCCCTGCAACTTATGCGCACCGCCCACCTCGTCCAAGACCGCCTGTCCAGGTTTCAACCCCAAGTGATAGGTGTTATTCAAGCATAGCATGCATCCGGTCTGCTTGAGCTGATCATACGTCAAACCCTTGAGGGACGCCTGCGTCGCAACCGGCATAAAGATCGGGAGGGGAACCGAGCCATGAGGAAGATGCAGAGTACTGGCACGAGCTTTGGTGGTCTATAGCATATTGAGGCAGCTGTTAGAACTGGTCAAGAAACGATCAACCCGAACGACAAATTCAAGCTGCGGCTTACTGAGCATTTCGTATGCAGATCGAACGTCAATGCGGAGGGCATTGGCTTGCGCGGCGCAGGAGTGGTCGGTGCAGATGTAGACATCTTTGCGATTCTTGCCCCGCTCAGGGTTACGGAGGGAGTCGTAGGGCGTAGTGAAGGGATTATCGCGCTAGAAAAACTATGCAACGTTTGACTAGTTAAACAGGGCCGAAGGCATGTCATCAAGAAGACCGTACTGGCAAAGGGTCAATTCGAGGCACGCGAGCGCAAACCGCAACAATTCATTATCGATAGAGAGCAATCAATGTCTGCCGATCTGGGAAGTTTGTCTTGTTTGGACTGTTTGCAGTATCTATTGTGGTGCGTTTGGTAATTACGTACCATACCATACATGACGCTTCCCCACATCCCCGACCACGGAGTAAATAAACTACTGTGGAGGAATCTTGGATCTCCCTGTCTCTCGACTGAGGATTAGTGATGGCTGAGCTGGCAACAAGTCTGCAGATTCAATAGCACTCTTCCCTCCTGGAACTACCATTCGGGTGTAATACGGTCCTAATATCGTGACCAGGTCTTCCCTCGTCACCGCCTAATTATGCATGCTACCATCGGCAACCACCGAGTTTACCGAGCAAGCTGGAGAGGACCGATGATTTCACTAATTGCAATCAATGGCTCGATGGAAGCTGGAGCCAGTCAAGGCAATATACAAGCTCGCATCCGTGTCCACCTAACGCGCTAATCGGAGATTGACCGACTTGAGGCAGTTGTACTCTGCGCCGTAACTTTCCCTAGTGAAGTTTTCCCGGCTAGCTGGGTTTGGTTCATGCGGGGGTTGCAAATCCTTCCTGATTCAGCGAAGTCGTCGCATAATTTAAAAGGTCCTATCACTCGGAGGAGCTTGCCCTTCACCATCCGTTGCAGGGGGGCCCGAGTTTGGCACCATGGACGAGAAAGCGAAATACCACCAAGCTGCTGAGAATGCCGATCTCGAGAGGGATTCCGAGGTATGACAACGCAGGATGGGCCCGGGTTGGCATACTAATTGATCTGGCATTAGAATTTCCACGGTCAGGACAGTGACAGCCCTCGTGAAAGAGCTTTGGTCTGGAAGCAAGATCTACGGATCCTTCCATTATGTGCCGCGATCTACCTTCTCTGCTATCTAGATCGATCCAACATTGGTAGGTCGCAAGTGCTTCATTAGCTGGCACTCCGTCCCTGCAGTGATGTCGGTGGTCAGGTAACTAATCAAAGCAACAGGAAATGCCAAAATTCTCAATGAAGATACGGGCAATGATCTCCTCACGGAGACAGGCATGACTTCGTACCAATACACGTACGTCAACTCCAAGGCTGACCCCGTCTTCTTGCTAAATAAGGCAACAGTATAGCCCTCATGGTGTTTCTGATCGCATACGCACTCTTCGAGGTTCCCTCAAACTACTTCCTGAAGAAGCTGAGACCAAGTGTAGGCACTGATCCTGTTGTAAGAACCTGAGCACAGATACTCACCTGACTTAGAAATGGATTGCTTTCTTGATGCTCGGCTGGGGGGCATCCACCATGGGCTTGGGTGGCGCAAACAATTACGCGCAGGTGACTGGTATTCGTTTCTTACTGGGAGGTACCTAGATGCGTAGAGCCCTCGTGAACAATTTACTTCATAGACGAACCCTAACTTATACACTCACAGTTATGGAAGCGGGTCTCTTCCCTGGACTGGTTTACTACCTGACCTTCTGGTACCGGAACTCGGAGCGCTCGATGCGCGTGGCGCTCATTCTCGCATCGGCTACCCTGGCGGGAGCTTTCGGCGGAGCAATTGCCTACGGTGTCGGACACATGAATCAAACTCACGGTCTATCAGCATGGCGATGGTTGTTTATCATCGAAGGGGCGCCTTCCTGTGCCTCTGCCTTCCTGGTTTGGTTCTTCCTTCCCGATTACCCCGAGACGGCATCATGGCTCAGTGCAGAGGAAAAGGAGCTCGCAATGCAGCGGCTGCAGAATGAAGGCTCAAAGGGGGCTGCACATGCCATGACCTGGGCAGATGCTAAGGAGGTCCTAACGGATTGGCGGTTATACGCTCATTATATGGTGCGTCTTGTCATCTGTGTCCTAGAGCATGTTTCCGACAAGGATATGACCTAACATGACCTTTACCTTTGCATAGATCTATTTTGGCATTTCCACCCCGTTTTCCAGCCTCTCACTCTTTACACCCGCGATTACGAGTGGGCTCGGGTATACCAGTTTGCGCGCTCAGCTCATGACAGTACCGCCATGGGCGGTAGCATACGTAGTCACCACGGCGGCAGCCTGGTCCGCAGATCATTTCAATAGGTACGCCGTGTGCATCCCCAGACGTGGCAGGTTCAATTTGGTCTAACTTGGAGTGACTGGTCTCTAGCCGTGGCCTTCATTCAGCGGCATTCTCCTTCATCGGGGCAATGGGGTTCCTCGCATCTGCCGTTCTCCCACCAGACGCATACCTCGTACGTTGACAACGCTTCCTCTTTAACTTCTGTGGCTCGTACTAATATATACTAGCACCGCTACGGCTGTCTCATAGTAGCCACCAGCGGCGCCTTCGCCTGTATTCCGCCTCTTCTCGGCTGGCTCTCCTCTAACCTTCGCTCAACAGCCGGGACTGGCCTTGCGATCGCCCTGAACGTATCGGTCGGCGCTCCGGGGCAGATTGTGGGCGTGTGGATCTATAAAGCCAACGAAGCGAAGAGGGGTTATCCGACCGGCCACTGGACCAACGCGGCGCTGCTTCTGTTTGTCTGTGTCGGTTGTCTCTTGTTGCGCGTATATTATGGATGGAGGAATAAACGGAGAGGAACGGGGGATAAATTTGCATATTAGGAAGAAGAAAAGGGGGGATTGTAAGAAAAAAAATATCGGTCGTGCTTTGCGCCTTTGGTTTCTTTGTTCCTTCGTGGTTTGGAGGGGGAGGACCGAAACAATGGAAGCTAGAACCGCCGGATCGGCAGTGTATAGTAGCGGATGAGGGAAATTAAAGTCGGACGAACCATGGTACGCGGCACGTGAGCAGAGAAATAAGGTTAAGCTCAAGACATGACACGGCGCGATCCTGAAACTTGATCCGACGAGTTGGGTCTGGACAAGAGTGGTTCAAACGTGTATACAACCTTGTCCCGGCCTAGATTTGTACCTCAGCAGCTGTCCACCTTCACCCTTCGTATATCTCGTCAAATCCCGGAGGCAAATCTAGAGTGCAAAGTAGACACCCAGAAACGATACTGGATGTATTTTTTTAAAAAAAAAAAT